AAGTATATATATATATATTATATTATATTATATTATATATTTATTATACACATATAAAATATAAATGAGAAATGGATCACACGGATCGAGCGTGCCGCGTGATTCGGCGATTTCAATATTTTTCGATTGTTAACGCTATTACCGAATTCTATCGTATCGGGTGCGTGAAAGAAGTGAGCGACTGTACGAGCGCGTGTATTTCATGCCTAATGCCAAAAAGGAATTTTCCGCCATCGTGACGATATCCTTCGCTCTATTCTATATTTCCGAGCAATGCTTTTTCACGGTCGGCCACGGTCGATAGATAGATCGCACTCCGAAAATGGTGTCGCCGGCCGCGATTAGGATATTAGCGCCACAACCGTCGAATGATCTTCAGTCACGATCGAGCAGGTACTCGTTTCGGGGATACGATCTTTTCTTCCCATCTCGAAACGGTGCCCGCGCACGAATGGTCCAAAGTCGTAACGTCACGAGCCAAAATAACATTGTACATAAAGGAGAAGAAAGCCGAACAAAAGGAGAGCCTAGCATAATGATTATCACGTCGTTGTTTTCATTCTAATAATGTTATTTGCATAAATTATTATATTAACCTATATTATTCCATATACCATTCAATATATATTATATATATATTGAATATAAAGGAGTAAGGAGAAATAAAGAGATTGTTAGCTCGAGTCATTGATAGCGTTAATTGAATTCGATTTATATATAGATTAATGTAAATTTAATAACATTTCTATAACTGATAATCGTAATCGAGTGCATGATTAAATCGTTCGTAGTCCCGTGGAACAGCGTCTTCGCCTCTGAAGTCTATGTTATTCGCGTTAGCCCGGCCGAACGGAGCTGGAAAAACGAAGAATTTTCGCGCTGACTTCGGGAATGATCAACGATTCGTTGTAGTTACCTCTTATCAAGTGATTAACAACGCTTGCCTGACCACCGATGCCGCTTGGACGATCGTAGTATTCATTTCTTACACCGATGTTCTCTGCCTGCGCTTTGAAATTTCCGAAAAATGGTACTCCAGCAGGACCGTTCGCTTGTCCACCTTGATAATTGTGATCCTCGTAGAAGTTTCGAAAATTCGGAAAGTACGACTGCTGGGTCACTCTTGCGACTCTTGCCGTTTCGCAAGCGACCACGGCGACGATAACGATCACGAGACACAGCTGCAAGACAGCAGTTAGTTACGCTTCTAACGAATCAAACGCTATCCGGGTAGCAACCAAGTCCATAAACGACGGATAAGGAATCGATGCACTATCACTTACGTAGTATCTCATAGCGAAGGCTCCAAGTCGTCTCGAGACCTTTAAAGGTTCCACTAAAGTACTCTCTAGCGAGCATTCGCTTTATATGGCAGATTCGTAAAGCATTTCGAAAAGCCGCGTGGATAAGAAAATAGGTAGGTTACACCCTCGTAATTATTCGCCGATGATTACAAAACTGCGCAGCGATACGTTTCATTACCGCGGATTGCGTAATAGGATTACCCGTTGTGGCGAACGAGTGACGAAACGGCAATTCTTCGAAATAATCGGGGAATCGATTGGAAAGCTCGCCGGCAGCGGCTTGCAATTAATTCCCTTACTTAGACCTAACCGAGTACCGATCTGGCGCAATCGAGTCTGCCGAAGGAAGGTGAAAATATGTTGGAATTTGTCATCGGTGTTCAATCGTGTCACTAGCCTCCAACTTTCCCACGTTATTCGGTTAGACTGTGGAGTGTAGCTAAAATGCGCGCATGCTGGCAAACGATGTCGATATATAAAAGGTGCGATGACTACAACTTCGTTAGCCCGTACACGATTAAATCTTGTCATCGATAAAGAAATTAGCGCGAAACGAGCTCGATCGCTCACGACGAATCGCAATGTTTGCTCGACGAGGTTCGTCTTCTAACGAGGGGGTTAGAAGCAGCGTCTGAAAGTCGATTGGGGGACGCGAGAGCAAGTTATACAGAATCTAAGGAGCAACGATAATGCTATTCGGTTTGCCGTATAATCTGGAAACTTTCACGAGAAAATGAGTTTCCACGAGTCAACGGATTAAGATCTCGAGAAAGGCAATCTCGGGACGGGAGATCCTCGCAGACTCGTAATCCCATGTTGCAGAAAGGACGTTGGTCTGTTATGAAATTCCGGGTCGGCATTGTTCCGTCGGATGAAGAGGTTCGGAAAGTTTTGCGAAAATTAGTCGGCTATCGAAACTTTACGTTTGAAACGGTTCTACACGGCGAACGGCGAGGGTATAAGCTTCTAACGAGTTTGGATCTGGCCGTTGTCGCGTTAAGAGTTCTCATTTCGCGATATTGAAGAAGCTCTGGGGTCGAGATTACGGAATCGTTGCGAGGGGGAAAGTTGGAGGACGAACGGATGACGGGGTGAGTACATTGAACAACAAAATTGATACTTCCTTTGTTTTATTTGTATAATTAGCGAAACGGAAATTTCGCTAAATTACGCTTGACTACGGTCGTTATGGCAAGTTAAGACAGCGATGACATGATCGTTTGGATACACGCAAAGTTTCACGAGAACGCCTCGGTGTTATCCGCGACGACTTTTCCATAACGTTCTTGAAAGAGCTAAGCGATCGATCGACACGATCGCTGCAATCGCACCGTGACATTTGTCCTGGATTTTTATTTAAGGGCAATACGGTTTTATGGGCGTTTGATAAATAGGCTGGGGGTGAACGATGGGCTGGGCGAGTTTCACGTAGCTAACCTGCGGTGCCTGTACCTGCACCACTTTCGACTGATGATACTGAACTGGATAGGAAATTTGAGGCTTGTGAATCACTTGAGTGACCGGCAGTTCGTACTTCTTCAGGTAAACTTTCGGTGCCTGGTACAGCAATTTCTGATACATGGGCGCGTAATAGATCGGTTTTTGATAGATCGGCGCGTACGACACCATCGGTTTCTGATAAATCGGGTACACCACTTTCGGCTGAACCACCGGCTGAACCACCGGCTTCACGATTACCGGTGCTGCTTGTTTCACGATTACCGGAGGTGATGGCTTCACGATGATCGGGGGTGGAGATGGTTTTACGTAGGTGATCATCGGTTTCGGAATGTAATGAACAGGCGCTGGTTCCACGTACGGTTTCACGTAAATCTGCGGCGGAGGCGAATACGAGATGGGATGCGCAAAAGTCGGAGGACACGGATTATAATACGACTCCCTTTTCATAGTCATTTTGTCCTCCACCATGCCGTCCGGCATGTGCATGTGCATGTTCACTGCGGTTTCGGAGCGAACGCTCGACAGCCATATCAGGCACGGTATCTGGAGATCACAGAAACATTTTAGGATAAAATCGTCTCGGGTCGATTTCGCCGAGATAAGTACAAATGCATCGAACGATTAGCGCTTCGACTAATAGCTCTCGATCGTTTCATCTTTCGAATCGCGGCACGGCAACCAATAATTCGAAAGATCGGAAAGATTCGACGTTCCTTCGTTTGTTGTGCTTACCAGTAACCTGAACATGATTTCGGCTTGGGTTGTACGATCTATCGGATGAACGTCGGTTCTAATGTCCCGGGCGAAACTAAAAGCGCGTCGTGCGTGGCCGTCGGTTTTATAAACTTTTGCTCCACTTAAGCAGGGCAAGTTTCTTGCGAACCGAAGTCGAATGTGATTCCCTTAAGCGGCGTAAAAAGCGGTCGTCGGTCAAGCCTATGATGCAAGTGGTCTCGCCCCGGTATTTCCTGAATAAATTCTGCACCTCGGGCAAACAGTCGCGTTAAGTCGCCATCGTTAGGTCGGCGTTCGTCATTTACCACACCGTTGCCAGTCATTGGCCGGTTTCCGAAGCGACAAAACCGGAGGGCAAGCCTCGTAACACATTAGATCGCCCCAGGGCTTGCCTGCAGAAATTCGCAAAAAGGTAAAACGGTCTGATAGCTTGAAATATTCCCTGCCAACTTATCCAATTTATATGTATCACTGACACTGCCTGTCGATTCGATGGCGTGTCCATTAGAATACCAGTCAATTACGCCACGATTGATTCGCGATTACGACTTAAGCGCTCTTCCAGGCGCATAATCGGCTCCCGAGGAATTTAACCGGAGTTAATCATCGATCGTTCGAGCTTTGCAACTAATCGCGAAATTCGTGAAAAACGCGACGCTGTTAAACTGGAACAAACGAGAAATTCTCGTAAAACGATCGATATTTGCTTTCTCCGAGATACAGCAAGTAATTATTCAATTAGGATCGCGGTAACGACTAAATCTCAAGTATGCCGTCCCCGGATCGACGAGATCATACTTGCCTCGGGTGACCTGGTTGGGAAATACTAATGGTACAAGGAAAAAGTGACTTGCAAAGTTATTTGTTTAGTGCTAGACAAACTTACGACGAAGTTGCGCGCTTTCGAAACTTTCTTATCGTCGTAAATAATCGACGTCTTCGCGAAAGGAAATTACGATGGCGAGATTATAACAGAGATTGTAAAAACATAACAATTTATTCAAATATATAACGATAGATCAGCTATAACAATAGTGGGCTATGTACAAGTGTCATGGTGCCAAGAAACTGTGAGTTTCTATTTGTTATACATTTGGTTAATTGGCTGAAATTTGGAAGAATAGCTTCCAGGATCAGTGTTTCCAGCCGTGTCCTTTGCTTTGGTGATGGAATACGTGCTTGTAGACAGGTACGTGAACTGGGTACGGTTTCGGAATGGGCACCGGGAAGTGCTTCTCGACTGTCACCGGGTATGGCTTCTCCACGACGTACGGTATCTACGCGAAATTAACATTTTGGTAAAGCCAGTGCATACGAGTTACGACATTTGTTCATAACGGGACCGCAATAATTAATTTCGCGAGGAACGTAATTAGGTAAACTGCATTTTCACGATAACGAAATTACATTTACATTTCGTGACATTTCGGTATCGCGGTAATGAAATTGCCATAACTCTAATAACAATCGTTTCTATTTCGCGTACAATAATGTCAGTGCTCGTTTCGTTAACGACAATTTACGTAACGCTAAACGTTGTCCGTACCTTTTTCTCCACTACATAGGGCTCCGGCTTTTCCACAGGAATTTCGACGTGCTTGACGACTTCTACGGGCACTGGATGAGGTACCGGTACTTCTACTTGGTACGGCTGTGGAATGGGAACCTTAATTTGCTGCGGAATCGGGACTGGAACTGGATGTGGAATGGGTATGGCGTATTTTTTGTAAATGGGAATTTCCACGGGTTTCGAAGTCTCGTGGTACGTGGAACCGCCATGGTCCTCCTCGAACGAGGCGTATGTTAACGCGATTAAAGCTGCGAATACCTGCAATACGGCGGTGATATCTGTTAATTCGATACAAATAACGGAAATAACTCTATTAAATTGATCGAAGAAAATACATGGGACGAATTTCCGCCGTGTCGGAGGCGGGATGATACGAAATCGAAACTGTTTGGAAACTTACAAGAGTCCTCATGGCTTCCACACTCGATGATCACACCAGCAACAAATCCTGTGCGTCGAACCCGCTGTCTTAACTCGCCACGATCACTTTGATGCTTTCAAAGTCACGGCCAAGTGTTTATATACCAACGTCACTTTCTCCCTTCTCTTCATTACGTTGACTCTTTCTGCTCGTCGTACTTATTCGTGCACGTATACGATCGCTGTACGATTGCCTGCACGGATAAATCACATTTACCTGCATCTTCCTGCCGTTCAATTTTCTACTTTGCGCCTCATACCCTTTCCCTTTCCGGTAATTTCGCGACAGCGAATCGAAATTTTCCCATCGCGATCGATCCACGTCGTGCGACAGTTTTTCCACGAACTTACAAAATTGCGCCTCTATCGAGCGAACGATTAACCGGGGAATAAAAGACATTCGAGAAATTTATAGGTAACGCTCCCACGAGTGCCGAATACGGTAACTACTTTCGATTTTCTCCATTTACGGGAAGAATGATACATTGTTCGCGAACAGATATCCACGGTAAAAGGGAGTTCCTCCTCTCGGTTTATTTTCTCGATATTGAGTAATTATGTCTCTAATTACTTCGACTCGTTTGTTGCTGAGATGCACGATAAGGGGGTTTTTGGTAATCAGGGATGTCCAAAGGTAACAACTAGAATCGCAAACGACTGAGAACGAGCTCAGTCAACCGAGATAAATAGAGCCTGGTCGTGGTCTAGTTCGCATGCTTAACAATTTGTGAATTACTGTCAGCGAAGTCAGAGTACGGATCGAGACGTTGCCAACACGCGATTCGCGAACAACGCGTTCCATTATAATTTTATACGCGGTGTGCGAATCGGGTAGCGAAGTATCTTTCGTTTCTGCGGGAATTAATGGAAGTAGAATTACGCGGACCATAACGAAACGACGGAATTTGTCTGATCTCGGTGTCTTAGGCGTTAGACGAGATCCGTATACCGTGAACCTACGCTCGTGCATACGTTTGACGTATAGTGCATCGGATATCCATCCATCATCGTGTTGCACGTAAATCGAACTTTCGAATACACCTTCTTTCTTCTTATCCATACCCGGATACATTCGAGCAAAGTGAAACGAGAGTTTAACGAATTTCATGGATCGCGCCGTGGGCATAGATTCTTCGAGGTACACAGTCTGCCGAGTCGGTAGAATAGAGATATTTCTATTTAATACGGAACGGCACGAGAGGAAGGTGTATGTAGGGGGTGTGGTCATGGGAGAGAAGTCGCTTGGTAGATTCGAATCGTACACGATATACCGTGTATCAGCGAGCGGAACAGTGAAAGTGTATCCCGAGTAAAAGTGGTTTTGCGCCGCGATATAGGAACGCGTCTGTTGTTGAACTCATTATGGCGAATCAAGATCGTGCAGAATTCCCCTATCGGTGACTGGTTGGCTTCTAGTGTATTCGTAACACCGGACGACTATGAAACGAAACTCACGGTTACGCGTTTCCTCTTTATTCTAGCCGCGAACAGGAAGGAACGAACGCGGTACCGTGTTCCGCGGAGTGGTAACTACCATCCATCTCGTTACCGACCGTTCAGGAAAAACGAACTGGTTCTATTATCCGATTAATCGAACAACGAGTCATGGTTCTTATACGTATATAGAATTTATTAACAAACAGGCATTGTCTATTAGAAAATGAAAACTTAACAAGTGTATAAAAATGTAACAAAAATATTGGCAACGTTAACGTCAACAATGAACGCCGGCGAGGCTGGAATTTGCTTTTTCTTCTCTCAACGTTCGCATCGGGACGACGAACGGAATGTTCGTTGAATTAAATAAGTTTAAATTCCAGGTGAGAAGAAGCTGTCTCGTAAAACGATCAGTCCAACGAGGAACAATTCCCAAGTGTTCAGCAACGAGTGAATCGGCTTAGTGCCATCCTTTGCCCTTTGAAGTGTAATGGAATACGTGCTTGTAAACTGGTACATGAACTGGATACGGCTTGGCGACTGGAATGGGAAATTTCTTCTCGACGTACACTGGATACGGCTTTTCCACCACAAAAGGTACCTAGATGGACACGATTACACGCGATATAGCAGTCAGTTATTGCGACGGAAAGTTTTGCAACGATAGCTTCGTCGTTCTGCAATAATTCGATAATTTTTCTCTTTTTTACTCACGTGCTTTTCCACCACGACAGGTTCCGGCTTTTCGATCGGGATTTCGACGTGCTTCACCACTTCCACCGGATAAGGGTGTGGAATTTCGATTGGGACATGATGAGGTTGCGGGATCGGGATCTCTATCTTTTGAGGGATTTCCACTGGTACTGGATGAGGAATCGGAATCGCTGTAAATTGAACGAGAAGAAAGGAATTATCGTATCTTCGAAATTCGTGATTCCTTTTTTCTTTTTATCTATAAATATTTACCGTATTTCTTGTAAATTGGAATTTCCACTGGCTTTGTCTTTTCCTCGTAGGTGGAGCTACCATGGTCTTCGTCCACGTGGCTGGCAGAAGCGATTCCTGCGATTACCGTGAGGCCAAATAATACGATCTGCAAACATTCGACCAGCTTTAATCTTCCCACCTGCATACGTACATTACGGTTTGGAATTTACATCGTTGATCGATCATTGATCGAATCCAAGGACGTATCAGGTAATCGCGATAATTAGATTTCCGATATATTTAGTGAAATTACTGTGATGCGACGTAACTACTGTCGTTAACGCTTTTACATTGATGATGCATGAGTCTTACAATTTGATTCATAGTTACAGGTTTCCGGGAAGGGGTGTTTATTGTTTAAGCACAAAACGTTGAGTGTCTGCGGGAATAGCCTACCGAGCTTATATACTAACATCGATTCCACCACCTTTCACTGGTTCCTTGCTCTATAGTCCCGACCCTTTCCAGGATATATCGAACTACGTCTTACCACCGACCAACCTTCGGACAAACTCTATGCACCGTCGATGAATATGAAAGGTTCTCGTTCTATTTTTTGTGCGGCTCATTGACCGTTCTCCGTCTATGGGTACTTAACCGGAAGTTAAGATTACGCGTACTTGCGGACATGGGAAGTGCACCGCGTAGAACTGCCTCGTCGTTGGGATCATGCTTTCTTTTTAGTAGATGACATTAGACTCGAACGAAAATCTCCTGCCGATACTTTGCTTCCGAAAGAACGTCTTCACGTTACGTCTGTCCCGGCGATGAGCTCTAAGTGTCCCCGATTTAAGGATACAGGAATCGATTACGCGGTGTACATCGGCCGTTACTAACGTCGGACAGGGTCGGAACTAAGAAACAACGGAAAATCGAGCACGCACCGAGAAAAATTTTGCTCGCCGACCGATGGCTCGATGATCGATAAAGCGGAAGATCAAACGCGATTGTAGACGCAACCGCAAATTTACGGTCACTACGTTTGCCGGAAGCGAATGCCTCCTGCGGTCACGAAAATTTCCAGAGACAAATCGACCGGCCTCGATGAACCCACTCGAAGAGAGCGGTTGACCGTATTCGGGATTAAGTGTCCGAAACGATCGTCGCCATGTAGCTCGTTAAGTATACGCATAAATTATAATAGTTCCGCACGAGGAATCTGTTCTATGCATGCAAAATTATTCGAGAGATTTCGAGTCGTTAATGCGAACGATTCGATTTCTTTTTCCCTTCTTCTTTTTTTCGCGTGTGATCAGACGCGGATCTGCCTCTGTGCGAATCTCGAATTTACCGGAAGTGAAGGTGAGAAGGCGGCGTAAAGACACTCAAAGCGGATCAAAGTTTTCGGACCGACAAAATGAAAGTCCAAAGGCGTTCGCCATGTGAAAGGACTGTTGGTGAAAAAAACCAATCGGACACGCCGATCTTTGTTCCTGTAAAAGTGAATTTCTGTTTTATCACAGAGGAGAGATAGCCGGATCGAAAGGCGAGCGCAGAAAGTGTGTCTGTGGTTCTGTCTGATTCTACTTCTTGCGGGAACCGGTACGACATGGAAGAGCCGTCAAAATGATCTCGAGTTCCTCGTCGTTTCGAGGGTTCCGTTTTCTAGATAACATCGCGTCATCCTGTTGCATCGCGATGCGATTTAATCGTGATTCAACTCGAACGTGTACTTCGTAATATCACAGATACTCGGAGGTAACAAAGATTAAAAGTTAAATGTAACCGAGGTACGAATTCGATGCGAATCATGGATACCGATGATACGTATCGGGAAGATATCTCTAGACGAGACCTTACGGTGTACCGTAGGTCTGCTTCGAATTTCCTCTACGCTGTTTCCTCCAGGAACTTCCGTTATCCCAAGTATACGAACGTTCGTTGTCTTATTAAACTCGTAACAGCGAATTAATTGCTTGGAGCTATTCCTCTTGAAAGCGAAAGCGATTCGATCAGCCTTTGAACCGTTTGCTTTATTCGAGTATTTATCACGACCTCGAATGCCGTTTTAAACGGCAACCAGACTCATTATTGGCACGCGAAGCTTGTCACGTCAGGCGGAATGTCGAACCTACGCTCCTGAAACGAGATTCACCTTAGAAAAGCAATGAACGTTGCGTCGTTCAAAGTTCAATCGAGATTCGAGAACATCCACGACCTCTTTTGTTCCTCGTTTGGCATGGAAAAAATTCGCTCGAAACGCGACGTACCACCACGGCGAGGAAGCGAAAGCAACTCTTTCATCTATTTTTCTTTCTCTTTGCCTACTAACACTCGAAGAGAAACTTTAGAAATGTCAAGGTATTAAAAATGCAAATCTTCGTACGTTCGGTTCGTAATACATATCTGTGAAAAATCTAGGTATACTGCATTTTCTTGTGTATTTTCTTGACGCTTTTTTCCTTACGAGATCCTCTCGTTGGTATACGCTAATGAATATTTACCTCGGGCTGAATTTTCGACTATTTCTCAGAAACAAACGAGCAACTCTGTTAATATTTCTCGCTCCGGCTTTGCGATAATACCGTTCTAGCCGGGAAGTGTTCCATCAACGGTCACGATCGATCGTGCTTTATGTATCTAGGACAAAGGTTTCCCTTCAATTATCGGAAAACGTCAGGAAAACGTAGTAACGTCTAATACACAATGGAAAAGCGATGTTTCTGCTTAGAAAGCCTTAAATCCAGAGGTCGCGCTGCTACGCTTTGAATTTTACTTTCGCTTGAAAATTTTTTTCTCCAGCAACTGCTTCTTTCACTGGTGTCTTGATCCTGTTTCTGAACACGTGCCAGGTAGCCGCGTTGAATTATGCTCGTTATCGCAAAGAACCACCGGAAAAGATGGTCGAGAGGGGCACGCGAGAGCAATCGTGAGAGGAAGTCTTGCACTCCTTTGTACAGAGCTATGCGACCAATTAAAGTCTTCCGATTTCGAACTTCTTTTCTCGCTAATTTGATCGGCTGCTACGAAGGAGCAGCGACAGTCACGACGAAGCGGAATGAAGCTTAGAAATTTGGAGAACGTCAGCGTCGCCGCTACTATGTCGAATATGGAGGTCAAGTACGAGTGATTAGAATTTCTAAAGGCTGCATGTAACGAGGAGCAACTATTCTTCCATTTTTGTAACAACGTGGAGGGAAAAGGGACGTTATCCACGATGCATCGACGAAACTCTAAAGAGGAAGTGGACAGTGGACTACAGTATAATTTTCTATTTCTTCGCGATGTATTTTCGCCGCGCAAAAAGTGCCACAGCTATGATTCCAGATCTCTTCTTCCTCCTTTTACAAGATAGTGATTGCCAAGATCAACGAAACGGTAGATCATTTTTACGCCTTACTTTCGCCACGGCTTCTTCCGCATTGCTTACTTTTTTCTTTTCACATTCCTTTCCGGTGCTTTTTCATCATGGCTACGTTATTATGCTAATACGGTCTTGTCAGATAGAGGAACGATGCGCTCTATCGTCACGAATCCTTGGAGCATCCGACAGTTGGCTCGCTATGAGTTACGATCTTTCTCTTAACACCATCTTCTCGGTTATTTCGCGTTCGACGGAAACAGTAGGAACAAACGAAAAGTGAAAGTCCGCTTTGAAACCATTTTTTTTTTTCATTTTCCGATGATACTCGATCATCATACGTCTAAGAATTTCGTGCTCTCGAATTACATTCACTTTACTCTAGTGAACGGACGGTTTCTTCTAAATAAATTCCTCCTGTGCGGTCACAGTCGAATTTACGAAGGTCAGTGACAGACGAAAGCAATCGTTATAATAACTTTCGCTACGAATGTCTAGAACACGCGACATTCTCCTTTCTCCTCTGCGCCTTCCATCCCCGTTAAACGCACACCAATAATCGTAACGCTCCGTTAACGTAATATCTCTGTACAACGCTTTCCGTATTTGCCGTCATAATCGGGAAAAAATTTCACCGACGTTACGATCACGATTTAATAACGGTTACAAATAAGACACAGACAAACAGATATTCCGATCAACAGTGGCATTTATTAATAAATAATTACAATAGTCAAAAATAAAACGCGAGGTATACAACGAAGTAACGTATATGCAAAACGCATAAGTAGTCAAACATTAACGATGCATTGAAAAAATAACGATCAACGAGACAATTTCGCACGCTTAATGGCCCTTGTGACTATGTACTATTGTTTTGTAAACAGGAATCTTAATTGGAATAGGCTTCGACACAGGAATAGGAATATGCTTCACAACGGGGAACGGCACGAGCTTCTCAATTTTCACCGGAATAATTTTCTCCACCGGCGTGGGTACCTTTTTCTCCACCTTCGTAAACACCTGTTTTTCAACCTACGAATAAACAAATATTACTGTACCATGCTGGATGTCGAAGAAGTCTTTACGAAGAAAAACGATTTTCAAGTGCGGGCGTCACCTCATAAGGAACAGGTTTTTGTACGATTACCGGGACTGGATAATTTTGTGGAATGGCTTGAACCTGCAAGCTCGGTACGAGCAATGGAACCCTCTTCGCAACTGGTATTCCTGTCGCAATTAAACCGAAAATAGTATAAACTTCTATGTTTAATTGACACTGATTCACGTACCAATTGCTTTGACAACGGGTATGTAGTGTCCGCCGTGGCCGTGGCCTCCTAGACCGATGCCGTGTTCTAAACCTCCTTCACCTAATGAAATAAAGCACAACCTTAAAGCGTATCTCGACCAAATATACTTGAACGTAAACCAAACCTAGTTCGTCCAAGCCAAATTCCTCGCCCTCGTGACCCACGGCAATTTCTCCTAAAGTTAATCCATGATCACCCAGTTCCAGTTCACTGGCCCAGCAGCAGGCGACCACCGTAAAAATTATAATCTTGAAAGGAAAAACATCGTAAAAGTTCACTAGCACGGAAGGAGATAAGCTCGAATAGCATTGCACTGAATCGGCATGATTATAATTATCGGTACGTGTGACATATATTAAAATAACGTACCAGTTTTCCCATGTTTGCTCTATCAGTGCATATGCATGCTCCGGTGAATAAAAGTTTAACTCGAGACGAATTGTTGGCGTAGTCACTTTATATAGCTGCTCTACAAGGGACATGGAACCCCACTATCACGCGAAATTCTATTCGACACCTTCACTATCGGGTTACGCTTCTCTATTTCTCCAAACCCCGGGTATGCCTGTTGGAACGGTTGCGTAATACAGGATTTCCATCTTTCATTGGCTGTACAATGCGCGACTCCTAATCCGCTCCTTCCGATGTGTTTTCTTGGTCTCATTAAGTTTCTTGATTGCATTCCTTTCTTTCGAAGACGCTCGGAACCCCACGACCTGTGTTTGTGTACGTATATATGTAAGTACACGCGTATGTACATACACTTATGCTTGTGCTATATCAGAGCACTCGGGGAACCAAGGACCGCTTCCTGCTTCCTGGTATCGATTAGTCGCCAGATAAGTTAATTCCGTGTAAAATATTTTGATGCTGAAATGTATGTGATAACGATCACGATAGCGAAGTATAAAAACAGCAACGCTAAAATGGGTATTAGATAGCGTGCCGGTACATGTAAATGAAAGGAGCTTGATAAAACGTATCTCTGCTGTGATATTGCGATATATGTTACAAACTTACAATATATTAACTCGTCTATCGATAAGTGAAGGTATTAATCGTAGACTAGTGAAAACAAAGTAAATTTGCTCGGTATACGTATCCTGATATACGGAGTGATACACGAATTGATACACGGAATGATACACGGAATGATACGCGAAATAATTATAGAAAGTGATACACGAATGATACGTTTCTTCGATTTCACGGTTGCTATTTCCACGTCTTGTGTACCGAAGAAAGCAATGACCACGCTACTTCCTGAGAATTTCGTTTAACGCGATACGCGGTAATAACCGAGTAAGGATTACTCGTTGGTTACCTTGGTGGACTTCCTTTGTCTTCATGGCTCATTTACGCTGATTGAGTATTCCCTTCTATCCTGAACTAGTCCGTTCGTAACATTCACTTTCCACGGAATCCGTAGCTGATGCTACGAAAATATCAGTGAAATAGCAGTGAAAGTCCCGATTACGATCTCGGACGCGTTAAGACAGATATATTGACGAGGTACGACGACCGCTTGTATCCCATGGAACTACGGAAAAATTGTTCCGTTCGTCTACTCCTGCTTGGAAAGTTCCTTCGATACGACTTATTCGATTTCTCTTCGCAAACGCCGTATCAGAATGCAAATTCCTTTCCGAAATTAAATATTTCTTTTAGCCCGTCTAATGGTGATGCAGAGTTGGGATGATGTATAGACTTTATCTCTGTCACTGGATCAAAGATTAGACCGTTGAAGCGGTAATCAAGTGTGACGTGACGGGATAGAAATAATACAAATCGTAAGATCAACGAGAAAATTGTTTCGATGTTGAAGCCATAGGTAAACCCGCCACACTTTCTCCATCGAGGAAACAGAAAATGAATGTGTTTCTTTTCAAGCTTTTTATTGAAAAACAAGAACAATAACATTTATAAAATTATAAAACGTACAACGATAACAGCGGTTCATTATATACATGATAGAAACGAGAAAAATTTAGCCTCGGAGATGAAATTCATCGCGATTCCATCAGAGTTGTCCGATCTGGAGACGAACTCTGAGCAAAAGCCATGAACGCGTATACAGTCGTTTCGACATCAGTCGGACGTATCGATCCTTATCGAGTCGATAAGCTTTAATGCTTCTTCGCATGGTGGTAGATGGTTTTGTACACGGGTATTTTTATGGGATACGGTTTAATGACCGGCACTGGCACGTGCTTCTCGATCGTAATAGGAATCGGCTTCTCCACGGGTACCGGAATATGCTTCTCCACGGGGAACGGAACCTTTTTCTCCACAGGCACGGCCACGGTCTTTACCACTTGCACAGGGACCAATTTCGGAACTGGATGAGCAACCGGATACTGTTGAGGAATACCAACTGGCACTGGATGGGGTACGCCTATCTTAAAGATCTGAGGAACCGGTACCCCTAAAAGGCAAAAATTCAATGAGACAATCTGTAAACACTGTGAGAAAAAGCTCACGCGGAACTGCTAAGTCTTACCGATGTGCTTAACGACTTTGACAGGTATGGGCTTCGTTACTTCCACATGCTCCGACACGGGAACGCTTTGCACTACACTGTGACCTCCGTCGAGGGAAACTCCTTCGTCTCCACCTTCGTATCCACCTCCCAGAGAGGAGTAGTCCGAGTGGTCACCGCCAGCTTCCAAGTGTCCTCCGGAAGATGCCTCCAAGCCTCCACCGTGACCACCTCCAAAGTCACCTCCATAACCACCTCCGTAACCACCTCCGTAACCACCACCGTACTCTCCGCCGCCATATTCACTGCCCCCGTAGCCACCACCATAATCACCGCCGTAACTCCCGCTCGCAGAACTGCCGAGACCTTCCTGATCGGACCTCTCTATCGGCCTGAAACCTCCATGCAGTTGGTACTCCTTTTCATCTTGTTGCACGATCACGGGCGCGGTGGCGGCCAAGGACACCAGAGAAAGTAACACCTAAGCGAAGGTAAAGTTCACGTCAGTGAATATGCATTTGAACGTTGGCTGTCTGATTGTGAGACGAAATGCGTTTAGAAAGGGAATCTTTCTCTACGAGTAAATGAACTCTGGAAATCGAACGCGTATATCCTTCCGTGTACATTAGAATTGCGATTAACTGGTAGTAAAGTGAAACGAATAGTGCTGCAAATTAGCGAATAATCTTGAATTTTTTATTTCTCTCTTTAATTGCATCGCGAGTGGTGCTCTTAATAAAGATCGAAAGTAATATTCGACGAAATGGACGTTTTTTCAGATCGTTGTCAAGAAGCGGCGAAAGAATACGCCGGAAAAGCGATCAGCTTTTTCAGCCGAATAATTTTTCGAAAATGGCGCGTCGTTCGGTCCACATAAATGTCACGTGGATATAAGAATTATCCGAATTCATTACTCACGATTTTGTTCATGTTTGGACTCATATAACTGAGCACCTGGTTGGTAGTTGTTGAAGTTTCTTCAGCGACTGATACATCTTTGCTCATTGCTCGTCTTAATATACCATCGGGCCTTTCACTGTTGGCGATGGAGTTTAGTCCGGAGACTCGTTACGATAAATCGCTGTTTCCCAGGTATCGGTCCGGCGAACACGTCGTATGTATTGGCCATTTTTGTGTGTCCGCCAGTACCGTGCAAATTAGACATTTTCTGCTCTATTCGAAGGTGACTGTCAGCGTACGTGCTAGCGTTGGTCGGCACCACCGTTATGTCAATACGTATTCGAGAACCGCGGACTCACTTAAACTACCGAACGTGACTCGTCGTTTACTTTAACGTTGACACTTTAAGCACGACACAGCTGCTATCGAATCGATTATTTTTATTCTTTCCATACGACGAGTCGAACGTGCCGAAGCTGAAAAGGAGATTCCGCGATTCCTTTTGTAATCTCGAGTGATTTCCTCTAAAGTTCCATGCACAACGATGTTTCGCGAATTAATAGCGTGTCATCACTCCCGCGCACGTGCTAGAATTTCTAATAGGTACCACGTCTCGTGCGACATGAATCACACGGTAGTACACGTTGCGTAGGAATCGTTTTTTAGTTGCTCTCTCGCATACAAATGTAAATTGGCGAATAAAAATGTAAATTTTCGAGCGAAGATGCAAGGGAACATCTCGAGACGGAACGAAGCATAAAATTAAACGCGAACGTGCACATTGACCATGTAAATAAACAATTTGGAAAATGTAAACAAAGGAGGGAAGAGTCGGGCGTATCGTCTATTCGTGAATTTTAATACCACCTGTAAATTGGTGAAACGAACGTCTGTCAGAAGAACGCGTGTCAAACGCTCTATGCGACAAATTGATGGCTGACGATCGCGTAGAGAGATATCGAAGACACGTGTCTAGCTCGCGTACCTGTGAATGCATCCGATCTTGTGGAGAGAGCATAACGAAGCATCTTAAGACCGTCTAAACACGAACCGCGCTATCTGTTCGTTACTATCCAGAAAATTATGATAATTACAAGACAGGTGAGACGTAGTAGAATTCGTGACTTAAATTCCAACAACGATCCTCTCGGAAATTAAGATGGTTTAATGAAACGGCCATGCGTTATATAGAAAATAACAGAATTTCATGATCCGTCGCGTTTGATGGGAAAAGTATAAACTGTCACTGTGTACATGGACAACCATCGATTACCTATCTCGCGTCGAGTGACTTTTATGCGAGAACTCGGATGACACGTGTGATCGTGTCGGATTAATTGTTCGTGATTATACGATATCTGCCCCTCGACGAGTGCGGGCAGCTGTTAGGGAGGATCGTTCTTAGTCGAGTTAGTTAAAAGAAGATAATAGATGGACTTTTTCACGCGTCGAAAATGACGGTAACTGTCTATTTATTTCTAACACTGATGGATGGCTCTAGGTCATGAGAAACAGATACGTAAACGTTCGCGCGTAATCGATCAAATAACGCTGATCTACGGAGAAGAGCGAATAAACAGAGTTGGTTTAGTCGAATGATCAAATGGGTTTTGGTTTAATTAAAAATCGATCTTTTATTTGGTAACGCAGTAACAAAACAAACAACCATAAATACAGACAATATCATTGTCGAACAAAGTCTGAAACATTTTATTATTCCTAGATTTCGTTGATTTCTTCCATCAACACGGCAACCTGTCCTCGAACAAAGACGACCAGTCTTATCGCGATTGTTCGAGAAAGCGAATTGGAATATTCTGCCATGGACTAGCCGATGCACGTGCAGAAGTTACGCTTCTTTCCTTTTGCGGACGCATCTGGAAACGTGCATACGTTTATCCTCGAAATAACGTATTACGGTACCTAATGGCTCCATCCGTGACCGTAAGACTTCACCCGATGGAACACGTGCTTGTAGACCGGCACGTGAATGGGGTACGGCTTTTCCACAGGCACTGGTATGTGCTTTTCTACCGGTATGGGCACGTGTTTCTCTACAGGGACCGGTATCACCTTCTCCACGGGATACGGAACCTTTTTCTCCACTGGAACCGCCACGGTCTTCACCACGGGAATTGCGACTGGCTTTGCAACCGGTACGTGAACCGGATAAGGCTGCGGTACACCTACAGCCACCGGATGTGGGACTCCTATCGCCACTGGTTGAGCAACCGGCACTCCTACACGAGTCGGGCAGAAATTTTTAATCAAATTACGTCAAAATTTTGAAACTATGACTAACCGAGCTCTACAACTGGGGTCGCGTTAATCGGTGGTTTATAAACTAAACGTAAATAAAGTCCAGGTTATAAACTTTGGCCCGTGGTTTGACGATAAACGTGGAAATTTTAATCGACCAGTCGAACTTACCAACATTTTTGACAACAGGTATCGGTATGGGTTTGGTAATTTCCACGTGCTCGCTTACGGGAACGGCTGGAGCGTACTGGTGTTGAACGTGTTCTCCGTAGAATCCGTGATCGCCTCCACCGCCCCCATAGGAATCGTAACCGCCTCCACCACCCCCATAGGAATCGTAACCGCCTCCACCACCCCCATAGGAATCGTAACCGGTCAATCCAAGTAATTCCCCGCCGTGTCCTGTCTCGTAGCCGCTACTACCTGATATCCTGTCGATCGAAGTCGTATCGATTTAGGCAAAAATTCCTTCATTCGCAAGAAGGTAGCAATGGTATAAATAACTAGTTCTCTTACCCCTGCCAATCTCCGGAGTTACCCTCGATACTGCCTAGCACAGATTTCGCGATTAATAATACTACCAATACCTGAAACAGTTGTCAATTAGTGGTAAACTCGGAGAAAAAGTAGTAACCGAACTGCCGACTGATTCGAGAACCAAGTATGGACACGAACAAGTAGGGTGGTGACGAGAGAAATCAGGTATCGCGTTCGAAATTCCGTTGTTCGTAGCTGGCACTTTCTAAACTCGGTCAACTGATGCTAGTAAATCACATATTCGCAATGATGTATCCACAGAGTGCGATCGTAACTCCGTCTCGAAGTATGAATATAAAGCGCGGGATGAATAGGAGCGGCGATGATGGCGGCTTTACGAGCCATCGCAAATACGTATCAATGCGTATGGAAGAAAGTATGCAAATAGCGACAGTCACTTTTCACCGGCATTGTTTACGTTACGAGTGGAATTTTCAAAGGATGCGGAACATGTGGTCACGATTCACTGTTTCCCTCTTGTTCGCGTACCTACGTGCGTCCATCGAATCGGTAATGTACATCCTTCCCTCCGAGTATGTACTTACAGAGGACCCAGAAAGCATTTTTGGACTACCGATGAGACAGTGGATGAAGAAACGAATACGGATACTGCGAGTGCTTGCCGATGGACCGATCCTTTTTATACGCTTTCTCCCTCTCCCCTTCCCAGACGCGTGGATGATCTCTCTCTTGGAAACCGGACTTGCATGCTGAAGCTCATATCCTAGGCTGTACTAGACCGTAGGAAATGTATCCATGTCGATGTGCGTCGAAACTTGACACCGATGCCTCAAGGTGAGAACTAACTTTCCGTGTCACCGTGACTGAATCAAAGATTCCAGAAGGTAAACGATCTCGATCGGAGGAAATTAGAAGTTACGACCGATCACTGTAGTAATAGATCCGCGGTTCATTCAAGCGAACTTTCCCTGCAACGTGTGCAATTTTATTTCCGCTTCAATTACATCGATCTCCCTATCTCGTGCAAGTTCGAAGACGCAAATGTCCAGATTTCCGAGATCGTACAACTTTTGATCGAGCTTTCTCCCCAAATAACGCCGTTATCGTGTTTCGAGGTGTACGAGCAACGAGATCAAAGAGATTCTTGGTCGATCCTCCACGAGGAACCTTAACAGAATGCATCGTTGAATTTTCTAGCCATCGTGGAGCCTGGTGAACGTAGTGAACGCCTATGCTGACCGTTCGCGGTCCTCTCTACCGAGCTACCGCTGAAATCGATTTCTTTTCCTACTCGTAGATCTCTTTCTTCCGTTTTGCCTTATTTTACCTTCCCATTGCTATGAAATATTCGCGCGAAATCCAATCGCGTCGTATACGATCCAAAGGGACCAAAACAAAAGCTATAAATCACGGTACGTTTTACGTCTACGTCGATGTACCGTTCTTGGATTTCCAATGTTCGTTGTTTTACAACGCGTGTAAAATGGAACAACCGTGAATCCCTGGAAAAGTTAATAATCCGCAGTTATTCGGCGGGCAATTAAAAACTTCAACTTTTTGTAACGGAGGATGGGACGCTTTCGTGACACGGATTGTTGAAAAATTCAAGTTACGGCTAGTTTCACTGGCGGTAACGCGATCTTTCGCGCAATGAGAAAGGAAAGCAAATAAAAGTGGGTGAGATAAAAGGTAAAAAGCGAGTAAAACGAAAAAAGCATCATGGATGAAAGTATTGGTTAGTTCGGTGTGAAAGGAGAAGTATTCGCTCGTTGTAATTATCGTATCTGGCCACGAGGCAATTGTCCCTATCCTTTGGATGTATTTTCTATCTCGTAGATTCTTTGCCTTTACGTAAGAACGAGAGAGCAGCTTTTAAAAGCTTCCGCCGTGCAAATACCGAAACGAATCCAAAATCCCATTAAGCTCGCGAAATTGCAACCTCGGTGATTACGCGAAACATAGGTGCATCGGTCAATTCCTTTCGTTTCGTTCCTGCAACGCCGACAGGAAGGGCCATTATCCAGGTGAATGGTCAGGCAGCGAGTACAGAAGACACCACGCCAAGAAAGAGTGACTTTGATCGAACGACTTTCTTCTCGCGTAATTACTCCTGATTCGTAGAAGCCGAGCAGAGACCGACAGGATCGCGGAGACCGTAACGGGGTGAAAGGGAGTATTACGGATGGTCAAGGAAGAGAGGTGAGTGAAAGGATTCCGGTAGGGATACGCTCGTAGATTCGACGAGGAGAGTTTATCCAACTCGGTCGTTCTCCTGCTGTCGGCTGCTGGGCGTAGTGTTGCACGTAACTGGACACTGATATCGCATTCTTTGAACGTCGATACTATCTTCCTACGGAACGAATCACCCTGCTTACAGTCACTTTCACTCCCACTTACCGAGCAACGCGCTGCGACAAACTGCGATACCATTGTCTCGCGTCGGTCCAGGAAACGACGAATCTGAAACCGAGGTTCCTGACCTCTGCTTAGCGCTACGACTATACCGGTGAAAGAAAGCGACACTGCTCCTCCAACAAGGCTGCCTTTAACGATCCAGTTGGCGCGACATTCGACCGGCAAGTGTGTCACGATCGCGCGTCGTTAGGTAATCTTTTACGAATGCAACACGCCCGAGTGTACGTTCGACGATACGGAAAGCGATTGGCTTCTTTCAACGTTCAACGAAAACGATTAAATACAATGCGCGATGTTAAGAAAGCACAAACTGGCGCATCTGTTACTAGACTCTTATGGTACAATATGTCTGTCGGTGAAAGCACACGTAACACTTTCTATTCGCAAGGCGTCCGGCAAACTGGCCGATCAATTTTGCATAAAACAAACTTTATTTGCAACAAGTGTAAAGAATCCAACGAACCATCACCGAGTGACCATAACGGATAATACGATAATGCGTTTCCGCGCGTGTTGTTTCACGTAGGAACGTTTATCAGCCCCAAGGATGATGAGTCGGTTTTTGCAGTGCCGCGAGTTGTACAGCGTTTGCGACAGCGTTTTCCTTTGCAGCGATTATGTCTTTCTCCTGCAAATTGACGAAGGCATCGTGTACCGAGTGTCTATGTAGAAGCTCGTGCGAAGCGATCAACGGTCCCTTACCTTTGCTTCCTGCTCGCTTTGACTGATCTGCTTGTCCACGTCCAGTTTTTGCAACTCTGCAGCCGTTGCAGCGGCGTTCCTTTGAATGGCAGCAGCTGCAGCTGCTTCTCTCGCTGCAGCCACTCGTTGGGCAGCTGCGACCGCATCCTTCAACGAGGCTAATCGTTGTTGCAGAGCTATCAATTGTTTCGCGCTTGCTCTAGCTTCGAATTCAGCCGCTGACGAAATTTCTTGCGACCTGCGTGGAATTATGAAAAAGGTAAAAGTATGCAATTACATTTTTCCCCCCTTTTTTCCCCCCTTTTTTCCCCCCTTTTCTTCTTAGATAGAACTGTCACACAGCGCATCCATTTACCTCGCTGTAGCTTCTCTGGCTGCAGCTTCTTTGGCGAGAGCCACTTTCTGCTGCACTACAGCAGCCTGTTTAGCTTCTGCTACCTTTTGCTGTGCCCAATTTACATTTTGATTGGCTTCCTTAGCCTGTTGAATAGCTTTCAATACATCCGGTGTATAGGCGACACTAGGTGTACTACGACCCGGCTCCTTTAACGTCTGGGGTTAACAAGAAACACGTGTGAAGCAAAGCGGAACGCGCGTGTGTAGCGGAGAAGCAAATTAATCCGTTATACCTGAATAGCGACATCGTGTGTGGCTTGAACCTGAACTTGCGTCAACGGGATATCTGGTACTCCCGTAGGGTTCCAAGGAGCAGATCCAAAACCAGTCGGAGACCATGAACCGGAAGAAAAAATTGGCTGCACTCCAAAAAGGTCGTAGCCAGATGGTCCTAATATAGCTACGCCTCTTTTCTCTCTTTTCGATGACAATTTTGGCTCCGCGATACCGGCCAAGGCGAGAGCAATAACGATCTGCAAGTGTCGTTCGAGAAATCGCTGTCTTAATAGACGCTTAAGAGCAAGATTTTGATACATGAGATATTTGTTACCCCGTATGAGATCTTCATATCGGAAGAACCGTGGGTGGTGTTATCGATGATACTGAATTCTCAGACTCGAAGGTCCAGTATATATACAGATACCGATTCGTAAGAGAATGTCGTATCGACCAGGATACAATAGCGATATTAATTAAAGCTATTAAAAGAGAATAGAAAAATAGAAATGCCGCAACAAAATTACAAGTCTTTATTGCTTAATGACGATTGACCGCGGTAGCGTTGCTGTGCAATTAATCGCCGGAAGACTTGTTTCGAGTTCGGAAATTGATGGACCGAGGTGACTGTATCGAGAGGTATACACGTCTTCCGTGCTTCCTGTCAAACTAATCCTTAGCGCAAAAGTATCTGTCGATTTGATCGACATAACAATATCTTCGTGGCTGATTAGGTATTTGTATGGAGATGTAATAAATCGATACCTAACACTGTTTAATTCGAAACGCAAATTTATGTTGAACATATATACAAACAGGTATAACGATATAAATAACAAAATGATATTTCGGATAAAATGTATGCGCTAAAACAAATGTAAAATATAGTTACAATTTAAGTGTACTGACATATTTTGGTAATAAGGTTTCTCGCAGGTTCTAAATACCATATTTCTTTAAGGTATTTTATATCCAAAAGTTCCCTGGTACAATGTGCCTGGTATTAAGCTTGTTACGACATCGGAACTATATCCGTCAACATCTTTAAAATCTCGTGGATCCTTGTAGTACCTAAATTTATTCCCAGTTGCTTCGATCGTAGGATCATCGGATTCGTAATTGCTCACCTTCGGTGATCTTGATTCGTATTCCACTTCCGGTACTTCTTTCACATGAACATATTCTACGATCATACATTCTCGTTAACCTTTTATCGTCTCGTTGACTAAAGGTTTCTCGTCGAACAAAGATACTTACTCTGTTTCGGTGGTTCTGCTCTGTACGACGCTTCGAATTCTTCGTCAGAGTCCTTCTCGAGATATTTAGGCGTGTTCACGTCCACGGAGGTCCCTTCTGACCGTTGCCTCTCGTAACTATGCTTATCGTCGCTCTCCTCCTCCTCCATTTGCCTGTTATAAAAAGGTTTCGACGAGGTGTCCTCCGAGTGATATTTAGCCGACGGAGCTTGCTCGTCGTTATCATGGTTGCTCGATGAAGGATAATCCTGATACTTGGAACCTGGCTTTTCGTCGCTTTCCCCGCCGCGATGCCGATTCGAATACTTGCCAAACTTCTCGTCGTACTGCTTAAAGGGAAACGACGTAGAAGGCTTAAAGTTACCTTCCGTTGGTGGCGTCTTGAAATACTTTTCGGGTTTAAGTTCGTAGTCATCGTCGTCTTCCGAGTTTGCGCCGTATTGTTTCTCGGGAGATCCGTAACCTGCGAAACGAGGCTACTTTATATTTATATTTATTTATATTTATTTACACAAGAACAATCGTGTCACTACGAACCTTCGTCGTCGTCGTCGTCGTCGTTGTCGTCGTTGTCGTCGCCGCCATCGTCTTTCGGCGGCGGCGCGGGTTTCTTCTTGTCGATGATCTCAACGTCGGAGCGAATTTCCTCGGGATGACGTGGATTGTCAACAGGTTGCACAGATTGAACATGATCCTGTCCAAAGAGCAACTGCGGCTGTGTTTGAAGAGGTTGATAAGCTATCATTGGGAAGCCGCCGACAGTTGGATACACCTCTACCGTGGCGCCTTTGTATTGCGGAAATTGCGCGTTGTTTGCTACGGTCGAAATTGGGACCACTTGGCCCTGAAAACTGGAAAGTGGCGACAGAAAGGGTGCACTCGGTTGCACGTTGTTTGTCTTCGGTGTTCTGACTGCGAAATTGAACTGATGCTCTACGGGGTTCAAAACGAGTGGCTGGCTTTGAAACCCGGATAGATGCGGAGGCCCTTGACTCTTTTGCACTTGGAAAGTCGGCAATGAAGCTTTCTTGTTTTGGAACGTGGGCGCGTACATCTGCGACTCGGCGGTTTTTGATAGTGGATACGCGGTTTTATACACGGGAAGGTGATGATTCGAAACTGTGAAAAAGATTTACTCGTTTAGAGAGAGTAACGTTATAGAAGTAACGGAATATTTTACCTGCTGCTACGTTCTGATGAAACTTTGGCTGGGAATGGACACCATGTTGCTTGAACGGTTTAGGAAAATTGTCACCTGCAACTTTATAGCCAGCGGATATGGTAAATAAATTATCGGAATACGGTAATAATTGCTTGGTATTTTGAGATTCGAACGGCAATCTGCTATACGGTGGTGATTGCTTGAAAACGCCGCTGTAAACTGGTGTGCCGGCAGCTCCGATCAGAGAAGATTCCTTGATAATTTTCGCGCCTTTATGCGATACAGGTTTCGGATTACTCGTTTCGATGCTTCGTACGTATGGCCCATCCGGTTGAAATTGATGAGATTTGTAGCCTTGAGGAACATTATGACCCGTTTCGACGATTGCTCTCTTCGACTTCACGAATCTTGGAGTTAAGAAGTGACGCTCCACTCCTACAGCCGAATTCAGCGTCGATATGAAGAAAGCGACGAAAAGAATCTGCAATATGTTCAACTATGTTCAGATGGATGTTACGTTTAGGATCAATCGTTGAACGATTGTTTATTTGTTCACAAATTTCACTAAATGCGATTATCGCGAATAAAACGGACCACGAAAACGTACCAACATGTCACCAGCTTAATCGACACAGATAGACACCGATGTTTCTTCTTAACTGGCTGCGACGCCGACTTCGGGATCTTTTATATTCAGTGATTAGCGATGCGAGACAGTCGAATGGGTTTGGCTTTTCTATGATTGACAAAAAGCGTGTCGAGAAAAACCGAGTTAAGTCTCCGTAACTCTCTCTGATTGTCGATGCTTAACCGACGTGTCAACGACCTGACTCCTCGCTAATTTACGTTTCCTCACCTGCACGCAGTGAATAATTGTCGCCGCAACCGTGGCTATAATTTTCCTAATAATAACCTTCGGAGAGAGATGATTCTGTTACAATTAGTCTATTAGTTCCAGTTCTGTTGACGGAACGCGGTATTTTCCGTCGACCTACAGCACGCGTTAAATGGCTTGCAGATGGTTAAAGTTACTCGAAAGCGATGTTGGTAATTAATGCAACGTCAAAATATTTCAAAGTACGATATGACAATGGAGTTTGTCGGAAGTATATCGAGCTGGCCAATATTCATTGGTCATAGTCCTCGAGAAATTACTCGAGCATATTATTCCCTGCGGTGTCGCAGATCTAGGGAACCGTAAAAAAATTTCTTTCTAATTGCTTCCCAGCTATCATTTCCAGTGAAAGTTAAAACTCGCTGCAGTCGGTATATATTCTAGAACCAATGGGTGGACTCTGTCACAAATCGAATCTAGCACGGTTGGCGCAACGTATGCAGGAAATTGAATGAAGAATCAGCGTGTGGATAATTCGCAAGGGACAAAATCATAGGGATAGCGTGGATTACGTCGCGAACGTACTTTTTCGGCATACCGATTATTATTGCAATCGGGCAATCGCGTTGCAACGATTGCCACCTTTTTGTAGGCCAGATTGTAACCATTCCATCTGGTAGAAAATAACGTTAAAAAACCGGAGACTTTTCGAGCTGTCAGTACATGGACTTTGGGGAAAAAACTCTTCACACTTTCCTGCGCACCCCGTAAAGTAAGTGAAAATAACCCAAGGTCGATGCCAAATTCTCTCTACTATGTTACTTTCACTTCGATAACGTTGCATGCAAAACTTTTGTTGCATTCTGTTTTTTACTCTCGAGAAATTTAATTAGCGGTAATTTAATCGGTCACTGACACTGAGAAATTAAAGAAGCTGCGATGATAAACGGCAAATCAACTCGGTCCAGTACACTTTTACGATTGCTATTTGAAGAAGAGAAATTGCAAAGAAAAATCAAATTTATTTTGTTACTTTTTCAGTGAAAGTATCGTCTAAGTACAGTCCTCGACTTACATAAGTGCACAAAGATTCGAAGGGTAGACTGTTACTTTTCGTCGATCAATTTTGCCACCTTACATAATATTTTCCAGAGATAGTATCAAGAATCCTAGTCTCGTGATAGAAGTATTGGGATTAATAAAAGGAATAAACTGCATTTGCATATTTTGTTTATAAGTAATATATACAACAAACGCTAGCACCTTAAAAACAAACAATTGAAACTTTCTTTTCAGTCCCGATTCGTTTGAACGCTCTTAATACTTCAATTATAGCATACAACGATGTGTACGTGAATTTGATGCAACTCATAATCACGCGACAGTCTCTATTCGACAATGAGTGACGCGAAAAAGAATTAATTATCGATGAATGAAATACGACGCTTGTTAATCTACATTCTATCGTACCTCTCGACGTTGTTTTCCAATTTTCCATCGTCGATAAAAATATATAAAAATACGATTGTTTATACGTCTGGACTCTATAGAATAACCGGCGATTCTTTCACCTATTTCGCATTGTACAGTTAATAATGTATTGCTCGACAAAAAGAATCGATTCATTTTGTTTGTTCAAATTCAGATTCAACCCGTTCTCTTTTCGGACAGAGACCTTCGAGCGTCAGACTCGACATGCCCTAAATTCGAATACAACGTACCATCTGACATCTTATAAAAATAATCTCGCAGGGAATCGTCGTAGAATTTCTGTTGCGTTCGTTGTGTCTCGTCTTCGAAGAAGTCCTTTAACTGATCCTGGTCTCGAAAGTAACTCGGTGTATTTCCATTAGGCAGCTGTTTGTTCTTCATCATTAAGCCGAGGAAATTGTGCACCTTGGGGTGGTTGTAAATGTTCTCTTTACTGTCTACCACTTTGCGCTGTTTAGACGACGTGGGGAAATTGCTTTTGTCGCGAGACAACATGGACACGGAGCTGTAGGAATCGTACGGCGAACTTTTCCAAAAATGTCTCGAGTCGTGCGCGTTTTCGTATTTCGAGAAACCATCGACGCGAACGGGATCGATGTTGGACGCAGAAGTTTCGATACCACCCGCTTTGTGAGACAAACTACTCCTGGTATGCGATCTTGGTCCGTGGTGATGGTTGTGGTGATTGTATCTACCCGGTCCCGGTCTCTTTTTCCCTGGTTTCTCGTGGAAATGACCTTTCGAGCGATGCGAATTCAATTGCGGCGGTGTCAGGAACTCTCTGATATGTTTCGTGTCTCTGAAATCGCTGCTATATTTATCTTGATCGATAGGTCTACGGTGGCGATGCGGTTTATTATTCCCGTAATAGCCGTGGTAGGAATCGGTCGGATGATTTTTCAACATTTGTTCCAAGGCAGCCAGCAATTCATCCGGCTTCTTGCTAGGCAATTCGGTCCGTACCTTTGTCTCGCTGTGGTGCGCTTCGATCTGCTCTTTGTTTCGCTTCGAATCGGATAGCGAAGCTTTCAATCGTTGCAACTCGTTCTTCAGTTTCGTGATGTCTGATAAATCGGAAACATTCTGACGATTGTTGCCCGGTTTACGATCGTTGTTCCATTTCTGAGAGTTGTAGATCGTTTTCAGGGATTCCTTGAACATTTGCTCAGCGTAGGATTCCAAGTCGGAGCTCAACTTTGGTTTTACCAGGAGCTCGCTCTGCGCAGTGAAGGAAGGCTTAAAGAAATTACCTCCCGGTATCAGCGGAACCAAATTCAAACTTTGCTGCAGGGGTTCGCTGACGTGCAGTTTACTGTTCAAAGCGTTCTGATTTTTAACCACGTCCACGTTCGGAATGAAGTTGATGGGATTGAACACGGGTCTCTCCAGAGATTGATACGCTTTTAAATCGTTGCCGAATGCTTGATTATTCGAGCCTATTTCCGTCAGCGAGTTCACTACGTTCTGCAGGTTGCTGGATTCCGTGGTCGACGACAATATGGCCGGTCTCGCTGTAACGAAGCTGGTTGTGGTGAACATAGGAATCGACGTGGTTAAAACTGTACCCGGGTAATGCATTGTCTCGTAGGAATTTATGATCGCGGTATCTACCGGGCTCGGTTTGATATTCGGATTGACGATTTCAACGTTCCTCATACCAACGTGCGGTAAATGGGCATTCTCGATGATCCCTGGAACACCTGGTGACGCGTTTACCGTATTAATATTACTATGACTACCCACGCTGTCGAACGTTTGGTATGCGAGAGGCACGTTTTTCAGAGTCGACGCGCCATTATCGAGATCGGAGTTCTGTATCTTTTGTCGCACGAAATCCGACCCATGGATGCTCTGATGCTCTGGGAATTCTTGCTGCGTATTCGCGGATAGGCTGGTGAACGTTGGCAGGGGTTGCAAAACCGCTGGCAGCAAATGAGTCGTTTGAATGTAAGTCTTCGTTTTCGGTACTACGTTAACGTTCTTGAACGCCTGTTGATACAGTCCTCCCTGCACCTGCGGCTTAACCATTTGCTGAGTGTTGGAATTTTGCAAATAATAATTATTACCGTTGAACGTTTGCCTCTCGTCGTTATGGCCGACTGCCAGGCTCGCCGAGGCCAAAAAGTTCGTGCTGGGCCCAGGAAGCAGAGTCTTTTTGTTTTGCGAATCGGACGTTACCAGGTTGATCTTCGTAACCGGTATAGACTGCGCCGTCGGCGTAATCGTGGGCAACGTCGGGAGCGTTTGAACCTGCAAATTACCATGACTAATAGCGTTTTGGCCATGCATCCCGTGAGGGTTCACCTGAATATAATCCGAGTTTGTGACCGGCGTCTGCACCAACGTCGAGACAGTCTGCACCGTCGGCTGTGGAAGTATCAATTGCGGCACGTGGTTAGTCGACATTTGGTTCGGAGCACCGATGATCGCTGGCCGAGGCGTAGACGCGTCTTGAACATCCTGAATCGGTACGCTCTGCAAGTTGCCGTTTAAACCGGGAGTGACCGCAAAAACTGGAGCGACTGTGCTAGACAGATATTGAGGTTTGAAATTCGTCGAGAATCTATTCTGTTCGTTCATTTGCGGAAGAACCGCGTGCATCGAATTGTGGAAGCTGTTTTGGCCAAAGATAATATCGGGAACGGGCGTGGACATTCTCATTTTCGACTCGTGGCCAATCGCGTTTTCGGCAGTGCTTATCGTGCTAGCCGGTGTGCCAACCGTGCTGAGTGGCGTGGCTGTAACGATATTGCGTAGAATAGCGTTAGACACGTCGAAGCCTTGACTATTGCCAATCGCTGTTGCGTGATCGAAGTTAGTTACTGGTACCAAGTTCACTTTGACCGGAACGATGAGCTTAGGTTTTTCCAGTTGACCGACTTCGATGCCACTCGAGTGCGAAATCTCGAGATTCGGAGATATCTGATTCCAGCTATTGCTCGGCTTAAACTTGGAGTTTTGAGATTTTACGTGCCTCATTTCCGAGCCCGATAATCTCCCATCGTATCTCGCGTCCTCGTAGCTATCGTCTTGATCTCGATACCGATCATCGTCCAACCACGAATTCCCTCTTGCTCTTTGTCGGTATGGCTTCGACCTTGACGAATGATGCCTCTTACCCTGACTCTCGTATTCCGCGCTATCCTCCAAAGAGCCTCGATGTTCCTTCGGCAGCCTCTTCGAACTGTCACCGGGTCGTCTTCTGCTCTTCTGTACTCTTCTAGGTCTCTCCGTGTACTCCATGTAATCGCCGTCATCCGACGTGTCTCTCGAGTCCTCGTTGCTTCGAAATCTCCCGTTCCTGTTGTCCATCGTGTAACGATGCGACATCTCGGAGCTCACCGAGTCGATGAACCTCGAGGTTTGGAAATCGTCGATGCCGGAATCGGATATTCTAGGCGGCTGGTTAAACTGGTAATTTGCTTCAGCGACCACGACTGGCCTGGAGAATCTTTGATTCTTCGTAACTTGAGGCGAAGAAGGAGGAACCATGCCGTACGAGTGATCTTCCTTCGTCGGATCGTTCTTCGAGAAGGCGTTCACCTCCTGATTCGTCCTTGGGAAGGACGACCCAGTTGGCCCGTTTATCATTCCTCCAGTCGCGCTTTGTTCGCGACCGTCGTAGTTCGGGACATTTTCCTGTTGATAATTGCTTGCCGCTTTCTCTTGATCGCGACTCTTCTTTTCTTTATCCTTCGCCGAGGTGCGAGGATAATAGTAGCTGTACAAAGTACCCTCGCTGTTATTTTCTGGGAAGACTATCCCGTAATTTCCCACATAGTCTTCCATTTTTTGTCCCTTCCCGTAAGTTTTATGTTTCGACGAAACTTTAGTCCTCTCATCTTCGTTTTCGTTGGAATTCGCTGGTTCCTCGTATAACTGCGGATAATTAGCTACCTCTGGTGTATCGTTGCCAACTTTCAGCAGCTCGAACTCGTTCTGATTGCCTTGGAACTCGAACGATCTGCGGTTCAAATTCGGGAAATTCAGAAATATTCTCGCTTCCGTGGAATAAGCAGGATCATTCTCGAATTTATCCACTTCTCGTCCATTCGTCTCCTTGTCGTCGCTGCTGCTTGAATTTTCCCGCTCGTCCAAAGAGTTGCTCCAAGTAACGTTAACCGTTTCCAGAGGGAAGAACGTAGTATCTGGCTGAGAGGGCGGTAGATCAAGCGGCGATGACGACGAAGACTCCATCATAGGCATGAACCCGTTTGAATTTTCATAGTGCACCGTGGTATCTATCATGGATGTTATCAGTTGATTTCGAAACTCCTGCTTTTGTTTGGAATTCTCCGCGTTTTGCTCCACGTTCTCCGACGCAGTTGCAATCTGATCGAACGCCGCTTCATCTCGCAGGTCCGTGCTTCCTGTTCCTATTACGTGCGGCCAGCTCAAAGATAACAGAACAACCTGCACCGAATACGAACTTGTTAACAATCGAAAACAATCGTTTCCATTTCGCTAACAGAACGATTAAACCTCTCAATATCGGTCGCGATGCGATCACGGTCGATATACGCGATGAAGCAAAGTAGCAACGATCGTATAGAAATTCGGTTGTAATGGCTGGACGAATTATTCGCGTTAAATGTACCAAGTCGATTTATCGAACGCGCTTAATAACGCGCAGACTCGTTTGGAAAAAGTCGATGCGTCGGTCTTGGAAGAAGAAAGCGCACCGATTATCGTGAACTTGAGATAATATCAAAGCTAAACGGAACGATCGGTGAAAATAAGCGGCAGTCAGGGGGCTGACCTAGAAAAAAAAAGAAAAAAAAAAAAAACAGACTAGAAAAGTAAAATGCGAGAGGCATGCGTATGTGCTATGACAGTCAAGGTCTGAATGTGCACGGAAGCAAATCCTCGGAAACTTTCTCACCGATGCGCAAAGGCCGGAGTTTAGTAGAATCTCTTGGAATTCCAGTGATCACTGCGAGAAGACCATTTGTAAGAGTAATATATAGAACGAGAAGTAACTCCGGTCTCGCATAGAAGCCGCTAGTGGAAATTCTCTTTAATGTACGATAATGAAACTGGGCGCAAACCGTTTCGTTTGATGTTTCACAACAATAATTGAGGATGTAAAGAGAAACAATCACGGTTAATAACGAGTCGCTTTCAACGGGGTAGAATTGCCCCTAATTGCCATGGAAACGTATCAGTGGACTATGTGACGAGCGATAAATTTCGTTCTACTTTCGAGCGTACCAAAATGGACCGATGTACGGGCTCAAAAGAAAGTAAGACCTTTCCTTTAATTGGTTAACTCAAACGGGAGGTAAATTAGGGAAAACTGCGACGTCGAAATACGAAGAAAAAGAGTGCCTCGATTCCACTGATCGGTATGCATTTAAATACACGCCGTAAATTTTTATCGATATTTTATCTCGAATTCGTAGGATAAATACGAGACAGCGCGTCGTATAGTTGCTACTTCTATATCGAACTTTAACCTGTTCGCAAATTCCCCGTATTTTCTATCGTTTTTCTCATCCTCGTGCGAAAAAGGGAAAGCGATAGAACGAATCGTTAGGATTTAAAAATTGGTCGCGGAATAGAAGCACGATTTTGTTCATCGCGAATCGAATAGGTTGCTCTCCTTGGTGGCAACAGGGTGATATTTGTCACAAAAATATGGGAGAATAGCACTGATTGGCGAAATCGGAGACGCTCGTGCATCGATCGTCACAAATCACACAAAATCGAATGGGCACTTGTTGTGGAAAACCTGTGATCGCGTACTTACAAGGTAAAAGAACATTTTCCTAGCCGGTGCAGGGGCGAGCACTTTGTGTTTGCCTTCTAAAACAGAAAACCACGATTAAGGTGGACCGAGTATCACTGAGCTTCACGTTGAACACATTGATCGCGACCACGGGTGTTTCTCTGAGTTTCTATAATCCGAAAGACCTTGCGAGGTGGACCTCCACGCGAGAACTGAGCCACATAGTAGACACGCGATTTTCTTTATACACTCCGGTAGCCAAGTGAAAAATATCGTTCTAAATATTATCCTACAGTCCACCAGCCGGAGGATACTTTCATTCGCGACACGCGACCATCGCTGGGAAATTGTTGTCCGTGCGAGTGCAGGATGCGACCACCCATCATTATCTCGCGAGCCACGCGAATTTGCTGGGAAAAGAAAAAAAATTGGGTTGCCCGATGGCATTGCACTACGAGATCCACTGATATTTAGTTCAATTAATTGCAATTAGCCATAATGATACAGGAAACGTTGATCATTTTTGTTCCTCTGATTAATCGTCTACGTTCTGCTTGCGAGCTTTGTTTTCCAAGCTGGCCCCGAATAGCTTCGGAAAGCTAATACGTTTCGGACGCCAGTTAAGGCTAGGATCGAAGCCATCAGATATAAGGAGACCGCAATTAGATATTGCACAAAGTATAAAAGATTCGCCTGGAATGGTCAGTAGTTTCCCGGCTGCATTTTATGCGCTCTGAAACACACGCATTATGCGCAGCGCGCTCACTCCTCCCGATGCAACCCGTCTTACACGATAGAAACGACGGCTGGTGTCGGTGTGCCGCGATGATACTGCGCTCGAGCATTCTTTGCTGTGTGCAACATCGTACTCGCAATCGCTACAGTTTAATGCCTTGTGTCTAATTGCCGTGCTCTGCAGATATGCGGAGATATTATCGTTGCCTCTCGTTGTGAAAACGTGGAATTAACTGCGCCCTACGATTATCGTGGTTTCAGTTTGTTCATCTACGCTCAACAGATAATTAATGCTAATTACCTTCCTCTAGCAACCGAGCACCTGTTCATCTTTCTTCTTCTATGCTTTTCGGCAGACGAGAAGAATTACTCCAGCGCTCGCTACCATTTAGATCGCGATCTACGGTTCGAAACAACGTCGATGATGATGTCGACGTCGACGTTGCGAAGAATGCGTTCCAGGCGTCTCGCGTACGTCGAAGGTACGCGTTGTTGAATTTGCATTTCGCACCGTACATGGCAGAATCGCTGAGCGAAAGAAGAGTTTCCATTAGAAATTTCCCGTTTTTACTTTTCTTCGATTTTCTAGATTAATTGCGCCTACGCAAATTAAACAGCAACGATAAATCGCAGTTAATTACCATCCGACTGATATCGCGATACGAAGGTCTTAAGGAAGCCATTATCGGAGACACCTCGCGTGGCGGCTGAGAGGAATGGTAAAAGGGGAATTGAAAGTAACGAAGATTAAAGTAGCTTTATATCAGCAGCGCGTGGAAATAGCGTTGTACGATGCGATAAATATCGCTAATGATCTCATTAAAACAGGTTTAAAGGAAATAAAATGCACGTTCGTTTAAATACGTATTTTATTTAATTAGATAGGAATGTATATAAAAGCGTAAATGTATTGCTTCGTACCGGATCCTTAAGAGCTACGTTTATAAGGTACCTTCTTGAAGTGAAAAATTTGGTCGATCGGGTAGGCTAAATTTCGAAGCAATGGTCTGCTTCGAGCACGATTTCACTCGACCAAGCTTCGAGCGTCGGTACGTACGGTACATCGCGTAGGTTTATTGCACAATCCCGTATTAAATACTACCGAATGACTGTCTTTGATCCAGTGGATCGTATTCTCTTCAACTTCAATGGCACAAAGCGTCATACGAGATAATGGTAAATGTGCCGGGTAGCTTTCGCGTGAATTTCCACTTTTACTTTTCCTGTTCGTCGGGAATTTTAATTCTTAGCCTTGTACGCGGGGAATCTCGGATCCTCTATGATCTGAACGCTTTTCGTTTTCTGCCGGCCGCTCGGACGTTCCGCGTACTGGCCGCTAACGAAGTCTTTCGAATTGTCCAAGCCGCTCGCTTCGTAACTCGATTTGCCTATGTACGAATTTGAATCGTAGCTTGGTGTCTCTCGTGCGTCATCCTGCGTCAGTCGAATCAAATCCAGAACAGGACTCTTGTTGGGTTCGAAGGCCGGACGCTTCGAGAAGCTTTCCGTTCCGAGGACGTACGTGGACGGTTGAGCCAATTCTTGAATGCTCTTCGCGTACTGCACCAGGTACTGTTGCAGCAGAGCTTTTAAATTAATGTTCTGCGTGGCTTTGGTTTGAATAGGCGAGGCGCCGTCCACTCTGAGTATAATCACCGGTATCAAAGAGTTCCCGGCTTGCACGAACGTCGGACGAACGTTGAGAATGGACGAAGGATTTCGGATGTACTCGGAGATGGACGGGTTGTAACTCAGTAGATCCGAATATCGAAGATCGGAGTAGCTGTTTAGGTCGTTGTTGTTGAAGCCGTGCTTCTTTGGTTCCTCGTCCATCGAGAGTATCTTATCCAGATAACTCTGTACCCGAGGATCCTGTTTGGGCATGTTTCGCGAGGGACGCACGGTGGAGGAACCGAAGATGGCGTCGCCAGACGTGGTGACATTTAGGACCGATTCCGGCGAGTAGGTGGACGTGTATTCCGGATTCGCGCTGTTCGTCATGTACCTGGACGGTGGTCGCTGATATCGCGAGTTGATCTTGGAACCGCTCGGGCTAGGTCTCGTTTTCCCGGATGAGAGCGAAGACGAGAAAGAGTAAGGCGGTGCCACATTACCGCTGGGTTTTCGTTGTTGCGCCAGGTTTACATTTTGTCGCTGGGTCACTAAATTCTGATAACCGAGCCGGTACACTTGTTGCTGGGGTAAACTCGACGACAAGGATTCGGCGGAAACGAATGGGTTTGGCTCTCGTCCGGTCGGATCGGGAACTATGGGAAATTGCACCGGCCCTTGCGAAAGAATACTATTTTCCGTAGAGCTGCTCTCATAGATCGAATGAGCAGCCTGGGATTTGGTGGGCTGCTGCGTCAAGGATTGCGGATATTCGGAATAAGTTTCAAAAGTTCGAGGTGGCATGTCGGATACTCTACCGTCCGGATACTTCCAAAAAACTTTCTTCTCGTAACGGATTCCATCTTCCAAAGTGTACTTTGGACCATTGGAGAACGACGAGCCAGCGGTTGGAAAATTAGAATTGTAGTTTAGTGGACTGAGCGTAGAGGACTCGACGCTGTGAGAGACGGATCCGAAACCATGGGAATTGATATTGGATTGAATATTCTGCCTCTGGCCTGTATAAGTCTGCGAGTTTCGATTGTACTGGAATGGCTCTGCCGTAACATAGTTTAACGAACTCCTCTGTGAATTCGCAAAGTTCTCCGGACTAGGAGTTACATATGTGACTGTCTCTGTGACGCTAGCAGCCAAAGGTGATTGCATCGTAGTTGAGACATCGTTGTTCCTATATCCCGAATTTTGAATGACGAACGAACTGACTGGCGTTCTCGATGTGGTAAAGAAGTTTTGATACGATTCGGAACTTGCAGCGGCTTTTTGCGGCTTCGTCCGTAACCCGAACACGGACTGGGGTTTCGTTGACTGAGCAACGTTCGAATATCGAAGATCCGTTTGAGTCTGACTTTGCAGATTAATGTCAGAGAACGACATGGCGAAAGGGTTTTCTCGTATATCGAACTGTCGCTTTGAATTGGCAGGCAGTACCCTCTCGATTATCGTTTTTGGCAAAAATGGGCTGATGGATTCTTCTATGCTGACCGTTGTTCCCGTCTTTCCCGCCGGGAAGTAGTAATTATATTTCCTCATTTGCACGGCGTTCTTGTCCAGACCATAACCGAGGCCGTTGTTCACCGTACGCTTCGACTTTTCCTCGGAAGTGACATTTTCGTCGTCCGTACCGTTGCCAAAGTCCAACAGAATTATCGGCGGCAAAATCGGCAATTTGTCATCCACCTGATCGTCCATCTTCGAATCGGATACCTTCGAGACGTCATCGTCGATGTCGGCTAAGCGGGGAGCATCGGTGATAGACTCGTACGTCTGAGCATCATCGGCATCGGTGGGTAGAGGCTTTCCAAAAACGTTCATCGACCAAAGGCCAATTACGAGAATCGTGGCAATCTGAAAGCAACGAACAAAGTGTGAAAAATCAACGAATTCGTTTAACGAACACGTGTAATAACGAGAGAAGCTGATCATCGATCTTACAGCTCGATGCTCCAGTAATGATAATGTTACTTTCACTTTCCTTCCTTTACCTTCTCCGAACGCGCACACGTGACGTATCCTTTTACTCTTATCTCGAACGTTTAGCGAGAGAACCAATAGTTATTGAGGGGAAATCGCGCTTTCTTGCGCGATAAGTATTACGAGGGTTGACCTTGCAGAAAAAGTGCGAATTTCTACAAGGTCACAGTTGAAACCGAACACCCGTTTGGTAAGCGAGAAGAACGTGTTTTATACGGTGCGCACTTGCGATTTTCACCGCTTTCTTCGACATATATATATACCTTGAGGCATATTCTCTTCGACTCGAACTCCTATACCGGGTTTGTCTCTCGTTCCGAATACGCTGCAACGTTAACGATCTCGTAGAAACGACCACGAAAATTGCGTAAAGCGCGTGAATAACGCGCAGTTTACGCTTTTGCATCTTGGCTAATTGTCATATTTGATTTTGGAACCATCCAACCGATACCCTTTCGTAAGGAGAAATGTTCCTGCGATGGTCAGACGCGAGCTACGCATCATTTTCACCTTAGTTTATCTTTTTACCAGGTAGGAAATCAACCGTTACCTAATAACGAACGGACCGAGTGGATTTTATGACAGCTCGAGAGCCGCTGTTCCTCGAATACCATCAAGCACTTTCACTGACTTGCTCAAGAGCATCTGCCACGATTACTCTGCCGGACCTGCGCGACCGTGGATGGAAGAAAATAAGAAACACTTTCTCCCTAATGACCGAGTCAAAAGAGTCTCGATTGGCCTGTCGACGAAAAGAATTCGGTCGTATCAGCGACAGAAATGGCGGATCATTCTGCGTGCATTGACACAACGGTTACTCAATTTACTTGCTTCGTTTGTTTAATATCGTTAGCGAGGATTGCCGGTAAACGAATAATCCGCGAAACGAACGTTTCAATTAGGCAATTATCAGCGTGCAATGATCGTTCGATTACGCGATTATCAGCGGAATGATCGTTACAATTACGCTCGTTGGCTGCCCTGCGAGAGCTTGTACGAGCCGGGACGAGATAAGTCGACGAACGTAGCAACGCATACGAATAACGCCATTCGTATTATCGTTAGAAAGATTCGGTGGCACTAACAAGGGTAATCCCTCGCGAACGAGATAAGGTAAAAGCTATATTCCGCTCACGTAAAACTATTATTCGTCCACCCTACCTAATCTGGCAATTTGTATCTCTTAAGCAACTGTTTAGATGAACGAGATTACCGGTGTAACGATGCAAGCGTCTAGCGTGGCTTTGCCATTTTCGAAAAATTATCCAAGTGAATATACACGCGTAGGAATATGACAGGCGCAGGAGATAGGATTAAAATAACGAGAAGGCGTACTTACGTGTATCACGAATATCCTCATGGTGACGGTCGACCTTAAACTTGTGCGCTTAGCGGTCTTCTCGCTATTTGGAACTGATGAAGCAGTGGCAGCTACATCCCACCTTATATGCCTTCGCCTGAACCGCGAGAGGGACACCACGATTATAGTTTCACCGCCGTAACACGCTAGCATTCCTCATCCGATACATATGGAAAGACACCTTCCAGTAGCGTAGCGACGTTGCTAGCACCGTGTGCTCATCCTCGGTCAATATTTCGACACCGCGACAGCTGGCACCCTGGTGTAATTCCCTGTCTCCGCGTGATTAAACAGACAATTAATTACATCTGAACGCGACGTATATTTTTCTTTTCGCCAATTTCGACGCGGGAGACAAATCGTCCCAGATTTAATAATTCCTCGCAATTACGCAAATTTTTGAGTTCGTCCGTTAAAGGTCGTGGGAAGTATTCAAAAGTTCTTAACGTACGGTTTTTATTATATCGCCGTTCGTGTGTGTTAATACGCGTACACGTGTGTTAATAAGAAAGAAAGGATAAAATAAAATTTTTACGACACTGCGAGCAATTTCAAAAGGCTACACCATTGGGTTCTTTCTTCAGCATCCGCTTTCTCATTTTGGCACGTCGGTATACGCATAAACAAGTTTATGTCTCCACCATTACCATGTGTCAACGACTCTCTATTAGAGTACGTAACGGTATGGGTAATGCTTTTATCGTAATTATACTAGCGCCATAATTAAAGAAATGAACTAATAAATTAGCCAATATCGAAAAATGATTAGTTCAGTAGAAGGAAACGAACGTTTTAATTTTGACGTTTAACGGTTCTTACTAAATTTTATCGTGTCCGTTATTTATCCGGCTCACGAATCGCGATTATGTCTCATTTATTCGCATTCGAGAGAGATTTAAATGTATAATGTTCGACGACTTTATTCGTACCGTGAATTTATAAATATAAGAATTCAATTCACGGTTACGTGGAAATACATTTTTCTCCCTCGAACTGTTTAAAAAGATTCAATCGTAATCTGTTCGATTGCTATACTTAACGTGGTTCGATATATAAAACAACGTTTTGTTTAGTAAGAATTTATTAAAAAGTATAAAACGTACACCCATGGGTATTTGAAAGAATAGAAGAAGAACGGTATTAGGTATAAGTATGACATTTATGCTTGTGATTTAACGATGAAAGACTAGATGCGATCACGCTTCTCATTCTCGACGGCATGTCTTTGCTTGTTTCTGAATTGCTCTGAACGTGGATATATCCCTTAACGATATTACCCTTTCTACTGACCATCATGCACGACATTCCTCAATTGTCAGGCGAGATGAAAACCTATTATGCGTCAATTCATTTTATGATTCTTGTATACAAAATTTTCTTTCGATGGAAGAAAGCCGCCTTCCAGCTTTATCGGCCTCTCTTGATACCTGTAACGATCGTGTATCAGCAGTGTCGAGACGAAGAAAATTTTGTGTACGCGCGTGGAATAACGTAACGGATGATCTCGTACCTGACGGTGTCATGAGCAGCGATTAACTTGCTTGGGACATACGAATCCAAGAGTGACCTAGGCTCGGTAGAAGCTACGTGATTTTGCTCCGGAAGAGGTTCGTTCTCCACGGAAACAGATGGCAAAGGTGGAGCGTCGAATTTAAAGTCCTGCGAAGCTTTCTGAGGCGCCTTCAAATCGGTGTTGGGACTTTCCGGTTCCTGTTACGATACATACATTTTTATAGCGGAAGGTATTAGCCGAGAAGAAACTTCGGACGTTCTTATTGCGATATCAAATTCCATTTATTTTCTCGCATCGCTACCAACCTTGACGTAATTCTGAGTCACGCTCTGACTGCTCTGCTGTCCCAGAACTTGATTCGGTACCTCATCAGTAACTGGTTTCTCGGATTGCAACTGTTCAGGTGGCGCCGTGTATTTCACGTTTCCTGGCAAAAAATTGTCCTGATCGTAGCCGGATGGACGCTCGTAAGCGTCGCTGTAAACTGGCGTAGCATGCATGTAAACCATTGCTGGTAGCGCGTACACTAGCTGAGGAACGTATTGCGGCAGTACCGGAGCAATCTTTGCTTGAGTGTACAAAAATTGCCTTCCTTGAGCAGCCGATTGGTCTTGCGTCGCGTAAATTGGTGCTCTTGATAACGAGGGGTTAACGTATTTCTCCGATAAAACAGGGCTTGACGAGACAACGCTCTTCGATACCTGAAACACCATTCGTTTGGACATCGATTCTGCAAAAGTTATTTAGCTACGTACAGGGTACTCTTTGTAATATATATTCGATCGGGTATTGACCTTAGGCGTGAAAGTGATCGGAGCTGTATTATATTTTGCATCGTCCGAGTTTTGATAACGTGTCATCACGGAATCTATCGGCTTCTGATTCATCGTCGAAGTGTACAGGGGGATCGATATGTGGTTGGTTGATGCTGTGGTTAATTGAGGTGCAGCGCCTTTGCCAGGATTTACGTCCAAATTGGGGTAATAATTCAAAATGTGCATGGTGGGGATGTCGATGAATAGCTCTACAAAAGTATAATTTAGTATCAAACACGTTGGAATGGAAATTATACGCGCTGTTTATTATTCGTCCGTATCGTCGATACCTTTGTTCGTATTCTTCGCATACTTTGCCGACACCGCCTTTTGCTGAACAGTCTGCAACTGATTACCGACACTCACTTCTGGTTGGTAAGTCAATAATTGAGATTGAAAGACATTTGGTGGGTTTCCTTTTGGAGGTACTGGTAGCTGCTGTTTGTATTCGTTGTAACGCCGTAGGAATCGTTGCCACAATTCGTTAGGCATGATATTATGTATGACGTTGCTTTGTTGTGGAAAAGATTGTTCCTTCACGGCATACCTGTGTGGCTGAACGTACGATTATGATACTTACTGGATAAAAATGAATCGCATAAATTCCTGATAATACGATATAACGTAATCACTGGTATTTATTTTCACAATAAGAAATACTTTACATTTTGCAACGTAGAAGGTGTTACGTATGAAACAGGCGAATTATTTGGCATATGATATTGGTTTGGCATTTCGAACTGCTGCTGTCCAAATTTCGGCTTCGTTTGGTATCTCGCTTCCTCGGATCGCATATTTCCATATTTCGATAGTCCTTCCATCCTCAGGTTGTCCCTTTCTATGTCCTCCAAGTTGATCTCCTGTTCCCCATACGTACCGATGTACAGCAGACCTAGTATCAAATAGAATTTCTGCAAAACAATCAGAGTACCATGTAACTCACAAACTATACGTTTTTCTCTTGTCTTTTGATATAGATTTACTCGAATAAATGAAAATTTGAAATTGATTAAATTTGCAATCGTATCGATAATCAATCATAATCGTGTTAATATTTCTGACAAACGCTGTAGCTGTTATTTAAGTCGATATATGTGCTCCTTAACCATTGCAACTACTGGTAAAAAATACACTTGCATCAGGATACACTTTCACTGCTCGCGAAGTTCTGGGTAAACATCCAGCATGAACCACTCTTTTATACACTACGCCAGGATGTAGTCCCTCCGGGGGAGGACCACTCCCGTAAGCAAGTATACCGCAAGTCAACGGAAAAGTAAGAGTTTCTCTTCCTGGTTCTCATATTAATTTTGATGCAACATTATCAAAGTAGCACAACCTATGGATTTCATTTTCAAAAGTTATCGAATTTCTAAATCGGAGAAATTTCATTCGGGCAGTCGACGACGAAAAGGATATACGCGTCATAGTTTCGGTAGCGTAATTATTTCCAAATAGAAAGACACTGTTTTCGAAAATACTGTCGAGGGTTCAAAGCACTTACCATTTCGCTTTAATTTCAAGATACGATCGCGACCCGAAGATTCCAGCTCTACTACAAAACCAATGTAGATTCACCTTCTCTTATATAGCCTTTACCCCTACCAGCAGTGTGTATGTATATCTTGACGGGGCACATTTCACTCGTGGATCATAGCGTCTTTAGCGGCCCTCCTGGACCACGTGCGAGGAATACCAAGAGGACTCGGGTGGAAGTAAAGGGATTGTTTTATCCCTCTCGAGGTTAAAGTTTATGGAACGTGCCGCGAACAGAAAAAGAAAGAAAGATCTCGAAATTCGAATAGTCGTACCAAAAGATGACAATTGACCCTACGACAAAACGACGATATTATTTGAGGAATTTATTCGAAAGTTAATTTCGTTAATCGCAGTGGATAGAGAACCACGTTTCGATGCAGCGAACAGGATTATAAAATAAATGCACCCCTTATCGGTTCTAAGAGATATCGGTTTTCTAATTTCCAGTTCTTTGTCGATTGATATACATTTCTCACGATTACAATCGACGATAATTACCACAGACGATTAATTTGAGAAAAACAAGCGTTATTAGACGTCAAGCTGTTAGAACGAATCGAAGAAAAGTGAATGGAAACGGGTATACACCGCGTGGGGATCGGAAACTGGTCATTAAATAGATCTTTCTAATTTCCACCCGGACTAATCCATGCGAAATGCATTGTCAACGGAAGACGGTGTACTAAACGACTGTCGCGGCCCGGTTCGAGCCAGTAATCTCCTTGTAAATCGTTCCAAGCTTTCCTATACAAAGTTGTATTAATTGCTTTGCCAGTTAATCGGTTCATTAGTCTGCTAACGAACTGAAATTGTTCTTGGCCTGCAGTCGATAACATCTGAGGAAGATATCACGGAAAATATAACATGGCAAACCGTGTATCTGTATTTCGTAAATACGTCGCGAATATGCCATTCGTAAAGAGAGGAACGATTTATCGAGAAAAACTTTTACGATTCTCCATTTACGAATTACAATATAGCCTGTTGCATTTTTCATGCAGGGTAAGAAGTAAGAGGAAACGAAGCGAAGAAGGGGGTACTTTGCGCGAACAATCGAAGGGTGCGTTCAATGTATTCAAGAAGAGACTTAATGATCGTGGAAAACGACCCTGAAGCTATTGTTTCGGAATTTTAATGGAGCTGAAAACGAATAATCTGCACGATTTCCTATCAAAGAACAAAACGAAAATAACGTGTCCCGGCGGATTTGTGAATGAGTTAAAACGAATCTTTGATTTAATAGAGATAAAATTGATCTCGTACACGAGAGAAATTTACAGGAAGGCGACGCAAAATGTATCTGCGCACGGAAGAAACCTGAAAGAAAAAGAGGCAGATTAGTTTTCCCTCTCGGCGGCCTTGGAAAAATTTGTTTGCAATTAACGGAAGGAAAGGAGATCTCGCAGAGTCCATCAATCTCTTTGTCGATCTTTCTCCCTGCACGGAGCGATGCGTCATTGAGACTCGCATTTCCGTAGACCCTTTTTTCCAGCTACGAGTACAGGTACGAGTACACGTATTCGTTGAAGAGGAAAAAAGCACTTTCTATCCGCATTCTGGGTGTGGAAGCAAGGAGAATGATCTAATAAATGATGACCGTCTTACTCGTACATACAGTCGAATTATCTTCAATTAAAACGAGGAACTTTCTCGACAGTACAGTGGCGACGTACGCAGCTTGACAGTTCAGGGATCGCGATTTCATCGAGATACGGATACAGGTGAAGAAGATGCTCGGTTCCTAGAACGATCCGTATGCTCGTTTACAGTTCGTAAGGTGATCGAGAGGTCGCTGAAACTTTGAGATCTAATCTTGGAAGCATAGTAACCTGGACCGCGTGAAAATACATAGCGATTCGTATTCCCTCGGAGGGGAATAGTTTATCCTGCGCAGAGGCGAAAGGAATCGCATAAATAGAAAGACAGCGATGAAATTCAAACGAGTAATTATGCTAAGATTGTACGAACAGAATCCGAAGTGGTTGGTTTTAAAGGAAAGGCAATTAGAAGCTTTATAGCATTATGGAAGTTCGCAGAACTCGAAGGAAGTTGCTGCAAACAAGAGCCGACGAAGGAGCGAAGGAGGAAATAATGGCGCGGAGCTTTCAACTTACCGTGTATATAAGGGACCGAGGTAAAACCCAGGTACGAGAAAGTAAGAGGCCAGGCTCGTCCGATTTTATTTTCGACCTCCGGCATACTCGTCGGGAATGCGAAAAATAAAGCAAAACACTGGAACACGCCACTCTCTCTCACCTGCCGCGATTTTCGATACGAGCGATTCCGTTGAATCGCAATCTCACTTCCCCTTTCCATTACCGCGCCCAAACGATCGACCGAACGTTGTCGAGATCCGCATCATTTCCTTTCATTCGCGGATCGTTACCTCTGTCTCCTCGCGTTTCCATCTCCAAACGATCGATACCGATCGAATCGAACCGTGCTCGGTTAACATTCACCGATCTACGCCTATGGCAAGTCTCGACTCGAACCTCGCGATATTTAGACGTCGTTATGGCCCAATTGTTCTTCCAGTTGGAAGGTTATCGTACAGAAAGATGTTCGCGAAATTGTCACCGGCGTCGGGAATTAAATTTGAGAAACGGGACGTCTGCGTCTAGAGTGCAGGGATAAAGGAGAAAGGAGAAAACTTTGGTGAAGAAAACAACAACAATATTTTATTACTAACAATGTCAAAATGGGTACAAAATTTACATATACGTAGGATGCAAAAGTCTCATAAGTAGAAATACCGACGTGATTCATCACCGGGTGAGGAAGGTCGCGACATTAAAATTCTTTCGAATTAAAAAACGAGTAGAAATTAGTTTCCTACGAGATTTGGCACCTCGCGCTATCTCCCGCGAAAGTATATAATTTTCTGACATAAATTAACATTCGTCGCGACGATACACTGGCGGAAATCGTTATGAATATAAAGTAAAAGTAGTACATTAAGAGAAAAAAAAAAAAAAAAAAAAAAAAAAAAAAACT